GGGTGTCTTTTTGGAGGGTGTTTTGGGGGGGGGGGGGTGCTTTTGAGGGGAAATTATGTTGCCTTCATGTCAAAATCCTGTCAACAGAAAGCATAAGCCACACGGGCATGCCTTTTTAAGGTTTACCCGTCTTGGTTGTTTAATGGTAGGGGTGCCTCGTTTGCCATGCACACCTGTCATCTTACACGAGTCTCTTTTTGTCAGAGTCCCCATGGAGCTTTGGGGGGGAGCTTGTTGAGGCGACGATTTGATTTGGGCCAACGGTAGAGGTGTGTTAACCAACCAACCAACCAACCAACCAACCAACCAACCAACCAACCAACCAACCAACCAACCAACCAACCAACCAACCAACCAACCAACCAACCCAGCCCTAGTAAAAATACCACCCCTAGGAAATGAAGAAACACCGGATCCTTGGGCCAACCCCAAGAAGAAAAAAAAAGGGAAAAACAAATCTGGGTGAATGACTGGTCCGTCGTCACACCACGCGGCGAAGCCCATCCAGCCGAGGGCCCGGCGCCATGAGAGAATCCCATCGCTCCGTCTCCCCCTGGCAAGCCAACAGCCCCAAAAGCTGCAAAGCGTGGCTGGGATTGGCTTAGGGTGTTGCAACCGAACAAATACATGTTGCATTTGCCTTTTTCAGGCCCCTTTTGCACTCTTTTGGGGGCTGCAAAAAATCCAAGCCTGCGACATGGCTCCTTTGACAAGCTGCTCGCCACGCTCACCGTGAACAGCGAACAAAATAAGCTGCGGACAAAAGCTCATTTCCTGTGCGTTTCCCTGTGGGAATTTCGCCAGGTCCGCCGCATGAAAAACTCGGAAGGTTTGCATCACGTTGGAGGGGACCTCTGTCAGGGTCAAGGCCATCTTGTCCTCAGAGAGCGGCATCGGCTTGCACAGTGGTAGGTAGTAGGGGTGCCTCTCCAAAGAACAAGCTGTAGCACACGCGCGATTCGGCCTAGCTGCTGGGCGGCAATCGGGCCCGGATTGGGATTTTAACATCCAGGAAACAACATTTGTTCAACATTGCGAATAGTTACCCCCCCGCAGGTTGCTGACGGGTACAAAGATCTGCGGTGAGTCTGATTAACCCATTCACTTGGTGCCACCCAGCCGCCGAAAGCGCTCCCCCATGCACCTGGCCCAAAGCGGGCGGCGGGCTCGCATGGGGAAAAAGGAGGAGAAGGAGAAGGCAGGGTGGCCACAACTTTTTTCCATAGCAAAAGAGCCTTGAAGGATTTCTTGGCAGCCCCAAGGGCGCCAGCAGCCCTTGTTCACGCCAGGCCCTCGAGTGTTGAAGCCTGCGTTTATACCCAACGCCATCTAAAGAACAGAAGCGACAGCCTTACCTATTTCTTGCTAGCTGGTGCCGGCTGGAGCGTAAAAATCTCCCATTTTCCCTCTCTCACACGTGCGACGCCGCTAGGGTTGACAGGGCCTGACGGTGAATGAGACGTCGGCTCAACAAGTGTGAAATGAAGAGCGGCCAACCCTTCTCGCCAACGCCAACGTCCAGCGCAAGGGAAAAAACATATGGCCTGCGCTGGGCCAAGAACCGCCAAAAAGCCTTGCGCCAGAAGCAGGGCGGGCAATTTGCAGAGGACAAAACCAAGCCAATGGGGGAACAAACGGCCACGTCAGCATCGCTCCGGGCATGTTGTTGGCCAAGCTGCTAGGCCCAAAAAGCCAGAGATAGATCACAATCAAGTGTCATAAAATCACAAAGCATTCCTTCAATGGCTTGCAGTGAATGAGGGACTCGAGCATGCAACGCAAAACCCAAAAAGATATGGGCCACCGAGAAGACAGTCTCCAAACCTGGAGAGCGTAGTGGTGGCGCAGCACAACCATAGTCTGGCCGAATGGGCACGAAGCCTCACCTCAAGAACGGTGGGATGGTCAAGACGAGGGACCACTCAAGCTAGCTCCCCGGAGGGACGCCGCAACTGCAAGACGCAGACGGCTGCGCTCCACACAAGTCCGAATGGGTAAGGGAGGCCTTAAAAAGCCACCAAGCCCCACAAAGGCACCACAAGCGACACACTCCGCGCACAAATGCTGAACGACATGGGGCGGAATCAGCGCGAGCTTCCTGATGGACGGCAAATGGATATGGCGAACCGGACCTGCACCTGGCACCCCAAAGCCAAAGCTACCTGGGCGGTTTGAGCCTCAGAAGCCATGGAAACCTCCCCTTTACTCGTTGCTCGTCGTTTGTCCTGCTCATTTGCTCCTCTCCAGAAACCCGCCCCCCCCCCGCCAAGAACCCCACCAGCGTGACCAGCGTCGGCTCCCAAAAGCTGCGCTGCAGCTGGGCGATCGCCGCCTACAAAGCAAAAGGCAGAAACAAAGCAAAGATTTGCCTTGCTTGTCATGCATGGGAAATGTCAAGGGATTTTGAGACTGAACCCAAGGAATTCCCTAAAGAAGCTGCAAGGGATCGATTCTAGTTGATTTTAGTGGTCCTTCCCTCATGGCCCAACCCTACTGAGAGCCCACTTCGAAACTCAGGCAAATGAGCGGTGAAGTGGGTCCGCGGCCCAGCAATTCTCTCTATATATATATATGTGTGTGTGTGACTAGGTCTGAGCGGCTGGGTGGGAAAGTGGCCAAGTAGCCAGAAGAATTCCGGCGAAGTGACCGAGAAGCCAAGCGGCTAAGTGGCTAAGTCTGGGCAGCCCAACATGTCAAAGGAGGCGCAGCGGCCAAGTGGACAAGTAGCCCAACATGTCTCAGTAAAAAGCGCAGGCGTTCAAGCAACATGCCGCCGAGCCACTTGCGCACTGAAGGAAAATGTGGTTCGGAACTGTCTTGCTTGATTTATCTCTTTACTTGTTTCTTTCTTTCTTTCTTCTTCCTTGCTTTCTTCCTTTCTTCCTTTCTTCCTTTCTTCCTTTCTTGCTTTCTTCCTTTCTTCCTTCCTTCCTTTCTACCTTCCTTTCTTCCTTTCTACCTTCCTTTCTACCTTCCTTCCTTTCTACCTTCCTTCCTTCCTTTCTACCTTCCTTCCTTCCTTTCTACCTTCCTTCCTTCCTTTCTACCTTCCTTCCTTCCTTCCTTTCTACCTTCCTTCCTTCCTTTCTACCTTCCTTCCTTCCTTTCTACCTTCCTTCCTTCCTTCCTTTCTACCTTTCTTTCTTTCTTTCTTCCTTGTTGTTATTTTCTTGTCTTTTCTTTTCTTTTCTTTCTTTCTTTCTTTCTTTCTTTCTTTGTTTCCTTCTTTCTCTCCTTATTTCTCTCTCTCTCTCTCTCTCTCTTTCCAACCTCCTCGCAAAAGTCTCGCTCATCCAAGATCAGGGATGCGACAACAGCATCTAACACAGGAGGCTTACGAGTCAGTCAAGCAAATGCCTTTCCTGACTTCAACCTAGCTACCCATGCCAGCGGAGCCTCAGAAACTTTGCAAAGCGTGCGTCTCATATCAAGAACGGTGCCAAAAGTTGGCAAAGCATCGAAGACAAATCCACTGGCGGCAAGATCCATCGGAAGCAAACAGATTCAGCAACGAAAGGATCGTGCACCAATGTTCCAGGCAGTGCTGCAAACAGGACTTCAAGAGACTGAAATCCAACTGAAGAGGTAAGGTGTGATACCGCCACCCCTCACTACGATCAAGCTCTGCAGAGCCCATGCCAGAAGAAAGACCGGCTCACTCCCAGGGTGTAGTCTGCTTGATTGTTCCTTACTTGATTGCGTGCATGCAAAGCATGCTGAGTACTCACAGACAAGGTGAGTTACGTAGCTACAAAAAAGATCGGCAGTTACCAACACAAACACAAAGTCACAAAGTCACAAAGTCACAAAGTAGCGAGATTCTGTTTGACAAAAAGCCAAGGCGTGGGGCCAACCCAACCTTCGCAGTCGCCTTGGCTCCACGTGCCGACTTCCCCCAAATCCCCCCGGGGTCCCCCCGGGGTCCCCCCGTGCCTCCGTCTCGCTTCCCGCAGCGCAGCGAATGGCGCCCTGAGCGCCCACGCCCAGGTTCCTCAGATGGGTTCCCACGCCCCTCGTTTCAGGCACTTGGCCTTTTTTAGGCTTCCACTTGGAATAACCTAAGGAGGTCCTATTTAAGAACTCACAAAGTGATGGATTCGGCGGCCATTTGGAACCTAAAGGCCAATTGGCTGCGGATTCTGAGAGACAACTGGGTGGGGCAGAGCCCACGAATGCGAACGATTGGGAAGCGCGGGCGACAGTTGCAGGCTCAAAAGGGTTTCGACCATGAAGAACACATGAAACTTAATGCTTGATGAATTATGATGAGATGAAGCATGTCTGGGGGAGGCATTTTGGGGCAGGGGGTCCCTTACTGTAAGAGAAACCCACTTGCTGAACAACCAGCCATTGGAGGGTGCTGGTCGGATTTTGCTTTTTTTTTTTCCCCTAAGGCCAACCTGTTTGGTTGTCAAGGTGTGAGAAAAACCTGCGCGAATTGTTATGAACCATCCAGCAGTTTGAGAACCATGAGGGCGTGCCTACGCCGCACCTGTGCCCGCTGTGCCTGATTCGAAGCCTTGCCTACGATGTCGGATCAAAAGGACTCCCTCATCCAAAGACGGGGAAACACGGACTGCTCCTGGTTGTCCCTGCACTGCAAAACTTTCAGAATATTGAACAATGGTTACGAGTCCTGGGATCTGGTTTTGTGGCAACCCCACCCCCAAAAAAAAAAAAAGATCTAGGCTCTGACCCCATCCCACCTCAAACCAAAAACCAAATGAGCCCTCGCTCCAACACTTTCTCCTGAAATACTGGCCAGTTATGCCTATGCACAAGCGCCTGCAAAAGCGTCCTCTTGAAACCAGTCACACAGGTTCTGCGTGCGGGGCTGTGGCCAGACATGGGATAAGTTGACCAACTGGCTTTCAAACATTTGGCACCCACGTGCCACCATCGCCCGTGTCACAGCCCCTCGAAAATCTGTCCAAAGTCGCGAAAACCGTAGTTCGACTCCAAGCTCTTGCTGGAGTCTGAAGAATCATGCTCAGAATTGCTTCTCTGTAACGCCCGCGGACATGATGCCGGTGGAGGACAGGCCGCCGCTCACGATGTTGCCCATCTCGTCCACGATCTCCGATCCACTCCACTTCTGGTGGGTCAAGGTCTCCACCTTGTTCTCGCGCTCCTTTCGCTGGATCATCTGCACGTATGCCGCCGCACCGTGCTTGGAGTACTCCTTGGCAAAGAGATCAATGCTGAGGGCATCGCAGTGGAAGCCGGCCAGGGTGATGAATTGCCAGCAAAAGCCGAGCTTGGCAAGGTCCCAAATGAAGGACTCCATCTGCGCATCAGTCATGCCGGCACTGTCCCAGTTAAAGGACGGGCTCAGGTTGTAAGCCAGCATCTGGTGAGGAACTGCTGCGCGCACCTCCTTTGCAAACTGCGTGGCCTGTGCCAGAATGGGCTTGCCGGTCTCCATCCAAATGCAGTCAGCATAGGGGGCGAAAGCAATCGCACGCTCGATGCAGAACTCAGTGGAGCCCTTAATGCGGAAGTAGCCTTCCACGGAGCGCGCGGAATCCCAGTCAAAGAAGACATCGCAGCCCATGTCTGCGGCTGCCTTGCGCATCTGGTCAATGGACATCTTGCGAGAATCCTGGAGCCACTTGGCTGGGTCCTGGCCCTTGGCCTTCAGGGCCTTGGCAACGGCATCAGGGAAAGTCATGCAACCCGAGCGCTCCTCCCAATCCTTGTCCGTGCCCTTCCTCATTGCTTCGTACAAAGGTTCCACACCCTTGACCGTGGCACCCTTGATGTGCGGGTGGTCGATGGTATCCTTAGTGGGGCTCAGAGAAGAAACAAAAAGTACGCCAAGAGCCTGGCGGGAAACCAAGCCCAACCGAGAAAACGAAAATAGGGCCCTTTCCAAGATCTCTCCTGGCAAATGGATCCAGAATCTGGATCCATTGAAATGACATCCTCAAACTACGGAAAAGCACACTGCATCCAACTTTGGCCGGACCGAGCCGCAATGTTCGAGTCGATCATTGTGGCCGCCTCCGCATCGGTCCGTGCCACCACCACCAGGGCCGAGTTCAGCACATCCGCCTGGTGCACTCGCTCGGCCGGGGCGGGGGGGGAAGCGAAAACTAGGCTAGCAGGCCAAAGCTGCTCCCCATGCAAGAGTCCAGCCTCCTTGCATGGGCAACACAGTGGCTCTTTGGCACAGGGGTGCGCATGAAGTACGGGGAAAATGACCACGCCCAAAACTCTAAGCAACCAAACAGTTTCTGCATGTGACGTTTCGATCTTGCAACATGAAAGCTCTGGCTTTCACATACTTGCATGCCCTCGATGGCACATGGCACTGCTCCATGGCCAAGTGCATCCGCTACATCGCCCGAGCTACGCCGCAAGAAACAACAGCTCAAGTCGCGCAACGTGTGGGTTCCCCTCTATTTGACCGACTGGGCGCTCCGCCGGTGCCCAGTGACCGGTGCCCGGTGACCGGTGCCGTGCCCAGTGCCCGAGCGCCTGCAGACGGATGGCAATGAGGCGCTGGATGTGCTCCTGATTCAATTCAGGCCAAAGAAGGGCCAGAGAGGAGTCAAAGCAGGGACGCTCGATGTGTTCTCCAGGCAACCTTCACATTGACGGCATGCCCGGCAAAAGGCTTCACAAAGGAAAAGACTTCAGGCGCGGGCTTCGGCGAGCCACCAAGCTTCCAGTTTCCGTGCAAGACTTGTCGCGAACATTTGCCCCAAAAACCTTGCTGGTAAAGGGAGGGGACACGGCTGTGGGAGCGCAACAGCTGCCTGGGTGTTTGCATGGATGCCCGCCATAAAGACTGTGCCGGAATTCGGAAAGGCGGGTGTTTGGATATGTGAGTGCAGGAATCGTGTTTCACCTTCTGCCTCAATGGTGTGCTTCTCCACGTTCAGACCGTCGCTTAGTTGCCCAGAGTCCTTGTGGCTCAGCCTCCCCAAGCAAAACACCGGGGATTGATAGGGCAGCACGGATGTGTTACTGGGGCAACCTGCCCCCACCACCCGCCCCCCCCCCCCCACTCTCCTGGGTGGAGACCAAGACCTTGCCGCCCATATGGCCGCACTTCTTGGTGCCTGGCTTCTGGTCCTTCGGAGGTCAATCCAGACCCAAAAACGCGAGAGATATGGAGAATGGAGACATAGACACGTGAATGCCTACACGCATTGGCACATCGATACATATCAAAATTTTAAGCCAAGAGGTGGATATAGTTCTGTAAAAAATGTCTAGTCTTGTTGTATTTGCGCTCCAGCTACGTTCAGTGCCCAGCTGCGACCATTCAACCAACCAGGAGCACCAACCGACTTTGGGCAAGGGGATTGAAGTGGGTGAAACACCGGGAATGGCCTTGGTGCTCGCCAACTGTTTGATCTACCGCCGCCCCCATGGCAAATTCACCATGTTTAGCTTGAGCTTGGAGCGGAGCCTCAATGTGGATGCCCGCAGCGCCGTTCTCAATGAACATCTTGGCGAGCTTCATCGTGGCAGTGAGGCCGCCGTGCCCGGTGTCTGCATCAGCAATGATCGGGTTCAGGTAGTCCACAACCGGCGTCTTGGCACGGTCCGCCGGCGACATGCGACGTCGCTCCTCGTACTGCTTGCGGTCGTGGAAGAGCTGAGCCCGGAAGAGCTGGTCCACCTGCCAGTTGGCAAGAATGACAAGTCGGCATTAGTTTGCCTTGCCGCATCATGCCCCATAGGCAACTGGACAGCACTCAAGAGCCATCCCTGCTTTTGCTCCATGGATGCGTGCACCGGAACCAACTGACTCGCTGTCGACTCCAGGACAACAAACTATCGTGTTGGCCATCTGTCGTGCTGTGAGCGCTGCTCCAAACGCTGCAACTGTCGCAACTCGCGCCTTGTTGGGCACGGTGTCGTACGGGTAGTCCGCGACGTCTGGCCCGGGCTCGTTGGAGGTGGAGGCGGTGGAAGAGCACTGCCAGCCGCTCACGTACACGGAGGTCAGGTACTTGGCCATCTGAGTCACCTGGCTAACACGGTCTGTACAGAAAAGGCATCAGCTTGCCCTTAAAGATGGGAATGAGCATGGTGATCACTGACCACGGCCATAATGGTCGTGGTGCTGGTGGCAGTGGTTTCGCTCCAGCTCCCACTGGTTCTGCTGACCTCTCTTACCTGATTTGGGCTCCACCTGACTGGACCAGACGGCAAGGGCTCCGGCTTCCTCAGTTTGCTCCTCAGCTTCCTGCTCCGGCTGGGCTCCGGGACTTCCCTTCCCGAAAGCGTCAAGCCCAAGGCACCGGGCCGCTGATGCATCGGGCATGCCCAACGGCGACCTCAACCCTTCCGGAACCCAAGCGCGGCACCCCGAACCCGGAGCCCCCGGAGCCCTGAGACCCCAAAGCTCCGCGGCTTCCCTTTGCTTTCCCTTCGAAGCCTCTCCAATTTGGGCACCCCAGCTGGGGCGAACCACGCGAACCAGCCAGGCCCGCGGTTTGCCCTTTTTTCCTGCCTGCACGGTGTCCAGGGCTCCGAAGGTGTGGGAGCAGGTGCCTTTGGCCTCAGCAACCCGAGATGCTTGCCATATGGCTCTGGGTCAAAATCCAAATCGGTTAGCCCCCAGTGAACATCCGATTCAATCCAACCACTAAAATAGGTTCCAAAAATGGGTGGTGAATTCACCTACCCCAACATGGTACCATTGGTTTTGACCCACAGCCATATGGCGCGGTGGCAACACATGAACACGGATTTTGGGGGTTGCTTCCCTCTTGGCCTCTGTACGGGTCGCCCCAACCTGCTAGGTCAACAGGACTTATTCTATTCTGATGTGTCGGCTCCAAGCCTTCCCAACCAATCAGCTTGGGGGTGGGGACGGGGGAAGCATCTTGGTGCGGCTCCCACTTGTGGTGGGGGCATTCTGGGTACCGATCCCGGGCCAAAAGCAACTCCGGGCCTGGTGCTCGCGGAGCATCTTGTAGAGCTTGTCCGAGATCTTGGCGCCGTTGAACTGCAAGGGGAAGGTTCCCTGAAGCTTCACGACGTCCTCCACCTGGGCACAAAGAACTGGGTGCGGCCACTCTCGCTCCCATTTGGGGCGGAGTTTTGGGTTGGGAACTCTTTGGCGGACGTGACTTACAGCGGCCGCTTTTGAGGAGGGCCTTCATCACAATGCCGGGCATGTGCTGGTTGCTGGAGGGGCTGCACTTACAAAGGCCTCCATTCCAAGTCAAGGCTCCTTGTAGGGGCGGGTGGTGTGCTTGAAGCGCTCGCTGCCCATGAACTCCTTCATCGCCTTCATCTGCGCCTCCCAGTGCGCATCCTCGCCGCTGGACACGGCTTTCAGCTCCACGCCGCCCGAGACGGAGGCATCCTCAGCGGGCTACGGTCACGAAACTTGCCCTTCCTCCAACAGTGATGCCCCTTTTAGTCGGGACTTTTTCCCTTTTGCTCGTTCGGGGGTTTATGAATCCAGGGTTCTCAGAACCAGAGTTTGGCATGTACATTTCGCAGGTCTTTGGTGTGGTCAGCGACTTGGGGGATGGCTCCCCTTACATCCGAGGTTGACATGAGCTTCGCAGCCACGCCCCTTCCACCTTCAACTACCGCCGGCACCCATTCGGAAGGATCCTCTGTTGGATGCGATTCCAGGGAACTCAGGCCAGGAACCCAACCAAGATAGGTGGGCCCCGCACTGTGGACGGACGAAATCCTGCACCACCCAAAAAATAAACCTGGACTGATGATTCCCCTGTAAATACCAACGAACGTTGTGGTTTCCTATGGTTGCGTCGTCGTGGTGCGAAATAATTTTCATCCATCCACGGTATTAATCCGCAGGGGTGAACTGAAGGAACCACCCACCCGCAGGCAAGGCACGCTGGCCAGCACATGGCCCTGGATGGTGCGGAGGCGCATCGCCATGGCGATAGAACCGGGCGAAGGGCAAAGCAAAGAGCTGAGCGAGACGGAAAAGGCTGCGCAAACCGATGTTCGCAGCCAAACAACGAGCACATGTATTCCTTTCAGGACAAAAATGGAGTGCTCTCCGCTCAGTACCTGCAACATCCTCCTGGCACCTCCGCTGACCTAGGTGTCCTCTTCGAACAAATGGTGGCAGTAGCCAATGATTGAGAGAAAAAAAATGAAAAAAAATGAGAAAAAAAAAGCGCGATGACGTTTCAAAAACTGCGGAAAATTGCGAACATGGGCTTCATCCTCGCAGAATTCCAAGGATGAACATGCTGCAATGCTGAATGGAAAAAAATAATTAGGGCTTTGGCCGCACCACCACCGGCAAGCAAGACCGCAAACAAAGTTCTCCCCTTCTTGTTTGGTTTGACAAAAAGAAAATTACGGGCTGCCCACCAAAAAACAAATGCCTTTCTCAAGAAAAACATAAAAAGCCAAACCCCGCCCCTCAGAGCCGATAAGGAATGGCTGCAGGACGACCAAAGTGGAAACTGGCCTTCTGAAGCCAGATTGCCGAAGCCATTAGCGTTACAGCAAAAGGTTCCGCAGCTTCTTTCTTTGAAAGTCTCTGCGGGCCATGCCCTAGCGGCGGGAATATTTTGCTAATTCTCCTAACCACCATGGGTATAAATTTACTCTGATAATTTTTGCTCGATCAATCCAGCGCGGACAGGGCATTCTCAGCCAAGACAATAGCCCTACGCCAACTCACACAACGAAGACGCAGTCGGAGAGTAAAACTAGGCCGGCGTTGATAATGAAGTTATCAGCCACCTCCGGAACCTGCGCGTTGCCAAGGCCATGCGCTGTACAGCTCACCCCTTCCGGCCTTGCGCATGGTCATGCCCAGCGCATGATCCATTTCATGCTTGCCCCGACTGCACAGCCGCTTCTGCTGTCCAACTTTTGGTCCTTTTGTCTTTTGGAGAGCATCCGTGCTACGGTGCACATAATGGTTTCGCCGAGCTCAAAACAGTTCTTTTAAGCCAGATGTTTGAGAGCATGTGCTCGGCTCACAGGCTGTACAGAATCTGCGTCTTGGGGGATGAAAAAACTGAAGCCAGGCAGCACACCAAGACACCGAAAGGCCGTTTCAAGCAAGAGACGTCAAGAGGCCCCAGAGCAGCCGACAGCACGAAGTTTAAGAAGGAATTTGGCGTCAAGGGTGTCAAGGTGCCCAACGCCCACTACGAACCAAAGCCAATGCGGAGCCAATGAGGAGAGCGGCTGACACGGAGAAGCAGGACACAGCAAAGAGCCAGTAAGTTGTTGTCAGCAAGACGTAGCATGACCAAGCGACGGTGCAGGTGGAGCGCTGTCGGCTGTGTAAGAAGTTCCCAACCCCCCACCCCCATTTGCTGGCTAACCGTCTCCTCATACCTGAACCAGCTGACACGTCCGTCGTACGATGGCGGCCACGTGGCTGCTTCCTCGACGCTTCTGCCTCGGACAAGGCCTCCATGAAGACTTGTCCTCTGATGCGATCTTCTGCTATGTGCTCCGCTACCGGAGGGATAGTGAGGAAATATAGGACGTGTCCTGGTAGAAGTTTCCGACAATCTACCTAGCCTTTTGTCACTCCGGCTACTGCTGTCGCTGCCTGAGACTAAGAAGCCCGGAGCCCAAATGTTGAAGATACCTGCATGGCTGCAAGAAGAATGTGGAAACAAACCGAGACCACCTCGTTTCGGCCCCGCGCCGAGCGGCTGCAAGTTCCTCGCCACAGGGCAGGCGACCACCGCGAAGCCCGCGGATTGCCGGTCCGCGCCTGGGCGGCAGGCGATGCGCCGATCTGGGGCCACAGGTGCTGATGAATTCCGCATGTTTGACTTGGAGCAAGCTGAAGGAAGTGGTTGTTGGGTGTCTTTTTGTGGTTTTTTGGGGGATTCATGTAGAAATGTGAATTCGCACAAAGGAGGATAGAAACAGAAACGTGGGGAGAGGAGCCGTGGCAAGGTCCGAGTCAGCAAGAACAAGCAGGGAGACAAGTGGGGAGACAAGTGAGGGGCTGGGAGCCATTTTTGCAGGAATAGAGAACCCAACAGCTGGGCTGCTTGGGGAGAAACCTGGTTCATGTTGATGTTGATAGGGTGTCCCCTTTTAGTGGTAAATCCTCTTTCTGTGTGACACTCCCCCCTTTTCGGGTTAAGTGCGTCTGTTGGACCTCCCCTTGGCAAGGCGCCCCCCTGCACCAGCTCAAAGCTCTTCTCGAAAATCCGCTTCAGCCCGCGGGCGACTCCTCAGCGCCGGGAAACGAAGGGGACAGCAACCATGGGAACGTGACAGTGGGGCAGTTGAGGCTGCTCACTCGATTGACCAACTGGTCCTTAACAAATGCCAAGCCGGTCGGAAGCACAAACGCGTGCAATCAAACGAAGCTTGTATGCGTCAAAATGGGGGGGAGGCTCAGAAACAATGCAATCACATGAAGCTGGTATGCGTCAAACTTGGGGAGTTGCCGGTTTCTGTAGTTTTCTTGTCCCCCTGTTAAACCTCACGAAAACGGTACCCTCAAAGAAGCACAAACCCACATGATTCTGTGAGTCCATCCTTGTTCCATACTCTGCCTTAGATGTTTGAACGGCAATCCCCCTTAGGAAAAGACGCATAAGGGAAAGGCCGCCTCTTCGGGAAAATGAAAGAGGCCCGCGAAAGGCCCTCCAGTGCCCCCGGTCGAAAGCACCAGGCCGAGCCGCGATACACGTTCGGCCCGGCCGACTGCGACTGCGCCAGTCGGACCATATCCACCTCAGTGAGGACCAGTTCCTTTCTGTTACCTGTCTTAGATGGTTAACCCAAAAAAAAACAAAAAAAAACTATATAAACCGACAGCCCCGAAACTGCTGAGACCAACCGCAAGCTTTCCAGCAAAAAGGTGGCAAGCCCTGTGTCTCTCTTCTGGCCCCACTCCGCTGGGTAGGACGAGGTGCGGCACTCCTTTGAATGAGCCGCAGACACAACTCAGACCTTATCTGAAGCCCATGTGAAGATTGATACGTTCCCAAACAATTCCCGCCGAGGCTCAGCGACAGCGCCGTGCCCGCGCTGCAGCAAAGTCACCCACAAGGCCTGCGCCTGCTCAAGCTGGGTCAGGTTGCAAGCATTGGTGGAGCAAAAGCAGAATGCGCAGAGTCTTTTACCGGAGCCCACAAGCCGTGCCATAGTTAGAGGCTAGAGATCTTTTGCCTTCAAAGACTGCGCACCTTCCAACATCATGGCAGTGTGCCACAAGGACAAAGTCAGCTGTTGCCTTTGGTGGGCTGGGAGGGGCACCCTGTCAAGCACTCAGACATCTGAACCACTTGAGCAACCCTCAAGTCAGGGATGGCCCCCTCCCCTAACCCTTGCATTCCTTTCCGCCTTGCTTCGTCATCCTTAAGCACCGTTTCTGACACGGCGCCACGCAAAATGAACTTCCAGGTACCCCTCTTATTCGCGCCTTGGAAGCCTGAAAGAATCGGCGTGCCGGCGCTGTGGCGCGTTGCCGGGGGCCAGGCTTCTTTGTTTTCGTGCGGGGGAGGGCCGAACCTAAAGGAGCGGCTTTGAAGATTGTTTCACGCGCCATGCCCGGGGAGGTCTCAAGGGCCACGTCTGCTTCGTTTCTTGTTGTGCCTCCAGGCCGCGCCACAGCGCCAGGCGCATGCCGCGGCTGGTGCCGCTGAGGGCCGCGCAGGTCCTCAGGGGGTCCCTTTGTGGCCGGGTTGTGGACAAGGTGTTCTCTTCAATCCTGTCCAGGTGGCGGTGAACCACAAAACTGAGATCAAAGGAGAGCGAAAGCCCAAGCCGCACAGGTGCTGTAACATCGCCAGATTGCGTGGTGCTATCCCTGCTTTTTTCTTGGGGCACCGGCCCTGGTGGAGAGAACGCTGGCCCTCCCATCAAACACGCAGCCTGACTGAAGTGTCCTGGCAAGCAAATGTCCTCCGCTGTCGGGTTCTATATTAGGCGGGGTAGCTTATGCTCTGATGCCGCAGTTGGATTCCCATTCCTGTAACCTATGGCAACTTTGTCACGTTCGGGTGCCAAACTTGGCGCCCGAGCACGACGCCGCTTCCCTTGGAAAGCATAGCACCGAAGCAAGCAAATTGCAGCCCACACCTGCAACCACTCCTGGAAGCCAAAATCATCCACGACTCACTGCCCAAACCAAATTAGGAAATGGCCATAACTCACTCTCCAACCTCGTCCCCGAAACTGGACCGCAAAAAAGGCCAAACTCTCCATTGGCCCGGGGCAAATCACCGCGCAGTCCTTGCAGCCAGACCCAGGGCAACACGAAGCGCCTGCAACATGTCGCTCTCGCAGCCACTGTGCCCACTGTACCCTTTTTGGGTGGGTTAAAACTTGAAATGACATCTATTTCTAGCCCCCCTGACTTGAGGAGGGGGGAGGTGTTCAAACACATTCAAATGGCCGCCACGAAACCTTGGCATACAGTAAATCACAAGGGCTTCCATCCACAGCCGTCCCCTTGACCCAAGCATCCCCGCCAGGAAGCTGGGGAGGTCCAGGAGGCTCTCAGAGCTGCTCCAGGCATCCAGGTCGCAAACCTCCTCGGTTTGCTCAACCCTCGTCCCAGCCTATGAAGAGGTCAAGGGGGAGTGCGGCAGCCTGTTTTGAGACTGTTGAACCCTGCAGGTAGCGGGTCTGGAACAATTGGAAAACGCTCATCACCTTCGGAATCCTGTTGGGATTGTAAAGGGTGACACGGGAGTCATATGAGCACGTTGGGGGTGGAGCAAACTTCAGTCGAACGGCGAGTTGATAACCACCTTGCTGACTGGGATATGTTCTTGTGGGGCTACCCCCAAGCAAGAAGTAGGTGTACAATCTTCGACTTGTGTATGCATCCTGATTGATTTACTACACTTCGATGAGGCAACTCCACCGACCCGCGCCACCATCTCCGCCCCACCAAAAGACATCGCTGGCCATCGCAGCGCGAGCGTCAGGGGCGCGCAAGTGGCTTGGCCTCACCAGCAGCTGCTCGCTGCATTCCGCGAGGCCCACCACGAAGCGCCCTCCGATCACGCAGAAAAGAGGCCAACCCGCCTGTTGGTCTGGTCTGTGAGCATTAGAAGGAAGGGGTGGTGTAAAGAAAGTCGCCGGAGGAGTTGGGGGGAGGGCGTTTTCTCCCTGAAGAGGGAGGGAGGGTTTCAGTGGAATTTGGAGACATGCCCTTGCCAAGGACTCACCTGCTGCCCCAATTCCATTCGGGAAAGACGAAGGCTTCTGCCTGCGGACCCGCCGAAAAGAAAAATCAAGAGGTCCGAAACCGCCCGACTCCTCAAGTCTGCAACCCGAGAGCGGGTTTCCCCTTGGGACGGGATATGTCCCCCGACTTTTTGCACACCCTGGCACATTCTCTTGAGGTTGTTCCCATACCCGCGACGCGAGCCTTAACCCCGACAACCACGTATCCTTATCCGAAAGGGCCGCGTTCTTCAACGAGCCAGTGTTTCAAGGCGCCAATCCTGTTTTACATAGGCTCAGCCCAGGAACCCAAAAAGCAACCTAATCTAAGCACACGCGCTTCTGTTCAAGCAGTTCGATCCCACCAGTTTCTTGGCAACACCAGGGCAAGTAACCCAGAAGCACCATCATTTGGAAGCCGAAGCGAAAATCCCTAATTCCCCATAGGAGTTCCCATGGGAAGTGGGAGACTGAAGGAAGGCGAGTGGAAAGAAAGTGCCCCTTCCCCTTCCCCCAGCCCTTCCCCTTCCCGCAGCCCCCCCGGCCTCCCCGCCCCTGAGAACCCATCAACAAAACTCAACATCCAAACCTTAGGTCTCCAACTCGAAAATATATTTGGTTGACATGTCAGATATCTTTGTCTTCAATTTTGAAGTTGACGTGTAGCACATTCACAAAACAACCTCCGGCTTACACGTCTCGCGCGGACGCCCCGCCCAGCCCCCCGAACACAACCCTCACTCTCGCCTCGCTCCGCGTCCCAGTCCCTGACCTGCGAATCCAGAAAGCCAAGATGCGCAACGACGAAACCAAGCCTCAACCGTTCGTTCAGGGGAAGGCTTCTTGAAGCCCAGGTGAACCGCAACCGCGGGTTGCGGGAAGCATGCCATGAATGGCGGTGGATTTGCCAGATGGCTCGTGCAGAAACAAACCAGCGACTGGCCAGGCTGGCACGAGCGAGGCCTCCGAACCGACTTCCGGGACCTCCCCGCAACCAAAAAAACGCGCACGATGCCCTGCACCTCCACCAGCTGCCCATTCAGCTCCTTCCGCATCTCCAAGCCTTCCACATGCCTCGAGGCTCAGGAGTGCGCCAAGAACAAGAGAAGCCGCTGATTGCAGAGGACGGGTGGGAGCACATGCCCCCAGGTGACTGTGTTATGAGGCGGGACCATCGCTCCGGCAGGGGCCTTCTTGGAGTTGGTCGACGCGCTCTGGCAAAGGCGACTCGCAACCAGGAAGTTGAACGTCTGCGGCTGTTTGGCGAACCCTGGAAGGAAGGGATCAAGCTTCGGGAGTCAGCTCAAGCCGCTAGACAAAGATCCTTTCATAGGAAGCTCCTGCGCCCGAACATTTCGACATGAGAAGCTTCCCCCAAATCTCCTCCCGGAGCCTTCTGTAAACCAGAAGAAGCGAACCAAATGCGACCAGACGGCAGGCAATTGCTCGTCGGGAAGGTGCCGCCAGGCCGCCCATAGCTCTCCCACAACAACTTCCTGGAGCCGCACAGAAGCCCAAATGTGTTTTTCACTCAGGCCAGCGCGAGGCCTCCTTCCAGACCATAAACAAATGACCCCAGACTGAAGAAACAACTACTGCAGCACCACGCTGGGCCTTGCTCTGAAGACCCCTCACTTAAATAAGCACTTCATTCCCCCAAGACAAAAATGCCCCACATCGCCTCCCAGGAAGGCTTTGGTCTCCTTTCAGAGTTCCCGCCGCACCCGCAAAAGGGAAGGCAGCAAAGTCGCGATCTGTTTCGCCGAGAAGCGGATGGACCTGGATGCCGCCCTTGATCATCGGACCAAAAACGTCGGCGCCATGGCCAGTGGGGGCTCAGTATTGGCGGTGCTGGTGGGATGAGCGATAGAGTCGCTGCGTGCCTGATCCACGTCCATATGGTCCATACGTGCTTGTTTGCATTTTTTACCACGTGCAGACCAACTAGTCTGAGGTCCTTCCTGGTCAAAGCTAACCAGAAAGGAAAGCTAAGTTGCCCGAATTACTGGTATGGGTTCTCTGCTCCAGAGAGTCGGTAACGCTGAAGCGCCATGGTCAATGCAGCAGGACTCTTGGCTTTGTCCAACTCGCATGCTCCAAACTCATCAAACCTTTTGGGATGACTTGAACTTGAGATGCAAAGCCTCCAGACCGCCAAAAGTCGGTGTGGAACCCTGCAAGGATGCCATGGAGCATGGCACTAGCAGCAGCTTGAATCTTCCAGTCTGCGTGGCATTGCTTTTAATGTCTTGGGAATCCACCACAAGGGCGTTTTGGCCAACAGCATTTGCCCGGAACTATATATCTAACCAAAAGAAGACCTCGTCAGCCCCGACTCAGAACAACAGCCACGTTCCGGCATTCGCATCTTGCAGTTGACCCTACACAAGGCTTGCCACACAAAAGCAGAAAAATGCGACATGGGCACCCGCTGCTGTGGGTGGGGCCACACAACACCCCGCCCCAGGGTCCGGCCCCAGCTTCCATCTAAGCGGCTGAAGGAGGCAACCCCCAGCATCTCAGCAACTGGCCAACTGGGTGCCTGGAAATCTGCCCTTCGCTTGTAGAGCGGGCCGACAACATGCTTTAGCATGTTTGAACAACTACTGTTTTCGAACCACCTATTCGTCCCCAGTAGTTGCCAGAGGGAGTTGAGAGGAAGAAACCGTTTTGGCAGCCAGATTCCACGCCGGGCGGGATGTTTTTGCTTCTTTTTTGTTCTTAAACAAACGTCTTGCATCCAACCTCTGAGAAGACACGCCTCAGGAGTCCTTCCCTTTCCCACCTCTCCCGAGCAACCGACTCCCAGCTCCCAACCGGGGGGGGCAAAGCCAACCTGCTGGGAGGCCTTGGCCAGCTGCTTCTGGGCCCAAGTGGCCAGCTCCAGCGCCTCGGGGCCAATGGATTGGTCCGTGGGCTTCAACAGGCTCTTGCTGAAGCCAACGCCCAACCCACGGTGAAGCCCCGAACAAGTCCCAACTAACGTCCAATAGGGTCGGCTTACTCACAGTAATGCTGACCAAAATGAGTCAAATTCGGTGAGCAAACTGACTTCTGAATTGTCATTCCCCGAGGTCTGGTCAAGCAGTGTTCCCCCGCAAAAAGCGTTGTTTTCGCAAAATTGGGTGGGTTTTGGTGGTGGGGGGGGGGGGGGGCATGGTTCCCATGAATGTCACACCACATAAAGAAGGGAGCTGGCCAGAGTGGCTCCTTGGTCCCTTGGGCTTCCCTCGGCCATGCCCCGAGAACGTTGGGAACTCGGAAGTCGGAAGTCACCTGCTTCTCCCCGCCTCCTGCACTTGCTCTGACGCCTTCTGTCCGGCAGCGCGCTGCACCTGGCGCAGTCGAAATGCGGGGCGTTTGCCGTTGGCAGCGTTGGCCGAAATTGGCTGAAACAAAGCAAGCACGGCCCCCTTTGCAAACGGGAAGCCTAGATGAGGATGTTTCGATGCGCTGACATGGGAATACCAAAAGGGATTGTAAGCCTGTCTCCCCCATGGGGCTGCCCGGAAATCCATTCACACACCTCAAATCAGGAATGCCGCAATGCCCTTCACCATCTGAGGTTGCAGATGGAGGTGGTCAAGAAAGCTTGCCCTATGGCTCAAGAGCTTCATGTCCTTCCTTGCCTGGAAGTCCCCATCACGGATCTGGCGCTGGGCTGCCTGCCGACGAATACCCGCTTTGGAAGGAACTGGTGGGGAGATCCGGCTGAAAGTAAAGAGGTCAAAGTATCCTCTGTCCAACCATCGCGGTGGACAAACTTTGCCTGCCCTGTAAGCTTCTATGGTCGGGAGAGTGCTTAAAGCCACGGCTGTCCTGCCATGCGCCCACGCCGCTTTCTTAAAGGCAAGTGGAAGGAATAGCGGGCGAATCTCCCCGGCCAGGATCCACGCGTTTGCCTCAACCACAGTTTTGGCTTGCCTCTACTCAAGGTGCCCGCACGTTGCTGCACAAAAGATCTTGAAAACACGGGATTCACCTTTCTGGCGCCTGAGGCATGACCAAGCATCAACGCCACTTAACTGAGCCTACTCAAAGTAGCAGAAATAAGAGCTCGAATCCCTTTACTCCGCATCTGCGCCACCAACCTGAAATATATGATCGCCAACTCATTTGCCGTCCTCCTGGAAGCACTAAGAAGTCAATGCAAACCACAGCAAGCAGCCATGTCTAAGCTCTGGTGGGAGTCAACCAATGGCGCCGCGCTTCCTTTTCACTGCGAGGCATCAAAACCTAGGTGACCGAATTAGCGCGGCTCTCGCGCGCTCAAGCTTTCAGCGCCGTCTGCGCCAAAGTCAGCCCCGGGAGGAAGAGCGGGCCCCGGGTTTCGTAACATGAAAGCCAAGCCACAGAAGGGTGAAGGCACCACGTGGTAAAACTCATGATGTTACAATGGTACACACTTAGCAATCTATCAAGCAAAACGACAGCTTGGCTTGAAGAAGTAGCCAAAGTTGCCGGCTCCTCAGCTGGCACTCACATCGGCCCAAATAAATCAAACCATGTAGCTGTCCCCCAGGATGATCTCGGAGTCTCCCCGAATCTTGGACCGCACCCAGTAGAACCTAACTTGTCCAGTCTGGAAACAAGTGATGACTTTCTGGAACATGGACTGAAAGAGGGCATAGCTTGGGATCGCCATTTTGACGGGGTACAGTATGACACCTGGGTGTCTCTTTTCTGAGGGGACCCCCAAGGTGGCGATGGTTGTCCGATGTATTTCCATTTTAAACCAACAAAAAGAATGCCGCGCGCCCAAGAAAAACCAATCCCCAAAAAAATCCCCGAGGAACAGGAAGTCCGACAAGATCAGCAGGTTCAGGGTCTCCGAGGCCATCTGGATGCCCCGGTTGTCCGGGTAACGCCACACGAAGACCCGCGGGTATGCGATCCAAAAGCTCAGCGTGAAGACCCGGTGCAGGGCCGTGAGCACCTGAACTTGCGAGCCCTTGCCGGATGGCTTGCCTGCAAAAAAAACAAATCAAACCAAGCCAAAAGCAGGACCACCCACCCATCCCCCAGCCAAAAAGACCAAAGGAAGGACCACCCACCCCACCCGTCCCCCACCCAAAAAAAGACAAGACATGAGGAAACAAGGGGATCGAGGAGTCCACTGCCACTGGGGCGCTACAAAGTTGGCCAGCAAGGGCGACACCCGCTTGTCCTGATGGAACATCCATAGCTGAGGGATGAGCGCCATCGCGCCCAAGGCCTCGTAGTAGCAGCAGAAGTAGCCTGAAGCTTCGGAGTGAGGGAGACTCCGAACGGGTTTGACACCGTTAACGGGTTGCTCAAGTCTAAAAGGATTTCGGAAACCATCTGCTGTACATGTTTTTCCTTGGTTTCTCAGGTGCCGAACAAAATGTCGCCAGTTCTTTATATTTTCCCGTGATCTAAGAGGATTTTGCAATCCACAGGGATCCAGGTATTTTTATGTTCCTTGCTGGTGCGATGGGCAGGGAATGAGGGAATGACTTTGGTACTTGGCCTTTCGGCTGATGAATATGAAATTTGAGTGTCAATCCAACTATCTGCAAGCGCTTTTCTAGTTTGCGATGAGCGGGGAACCAAAAGCATGCCTGTGAAGAACCGGGTAGCTGATCAGGAAAGTGCGCTGGGATTTCCTCACAGCATACCAAAGCAGCGCCAAGATGGCCACTGCTACATAGAGGAAAGATGCTGCGGCAAACGGGCTCGTCCGAAGTGGGCTGTTCTTGGGGATGAGCTCGAATCGCTCGAAAATGTGGATGCCGAAATTGTCCTTCTCCTTCTCATAGCTTGGGTAGTAGTAGTACACAAAGGACAGCAGCAAAGCTACCCCTATGCAGGAACTCACCACATCAATGGTGGGATAAATGAACCAGGGCAACACGTTGGGCACATAGTGCAGCCTGACTTGCAGAATCATCTGGCCAAAATGAGCTCTTTTGAACCGCATCTCATTCCCAGCTACAAGCATGGAAACTAGGGAAATACTGTGGGTGGACAAAATCCTGGAGCACTTTGAAACCATGGGAAACCATTAGTTTGTTGCTATTTATAGGGAAATCATCCTTCCGGGGTTTCTTAGGTGGTGCGAACTGGATTTCGTCCATCCACAGTATTGGCTGAGAAGACAAGAAGGTCGCTGCCAGTGAGAAGCCCGCACCCGTGGCTAATGAGGTGGATGACCCTCGCCCCCACGATGGTGGACAAGGTCTGGAGCGAGAGCCCGGCTGCGGATCTGTTCTTCCGGAGCTGCAAAAAGAGCACCACAAAAGTGCCGCTGATGCACAGGTCCGAGCAATTGATGAGGAGGTCCAGCAACAGCTCCTGAGCCATGCGCCGATTTTCAGGGGAACGAGGTGCGGTGGGACCCCTGGCTCGATTTATGCGGTCTTCCAGTGACGCCCTCCCATCTTAAAGGCAGAGTCGGATTTGACATCATTCAACATTAAAACAAGCGCTCCGCGCGTCTGCTCAATTGACTTGGCCGGCGCAGCCTGCACGCACACACACACACACACACACACACACACACACACACACACATGCCTCACACAAAGAAGCATCTTGGGCTGGGTAAAATACGGGGACGCTAAAAGAATGCATTTTGCTAAGGCTTCCTTGCAAAACAGCGTGACAAGGCCCTCCCACACAGGCCGCAAATCCAGGAATTTGCAAAAACACAAAAGAAAAAAAAACGAAAAACTCAATCTGAAATAGTCTGAATCTGGGAAGACTCAAAAGAAACTCAAAAAAAACTCAAAAACAACTCAAGCAACAACTCAAGCAGGGGTCTGGGGAGGGTTCTGGGGGTTGGGGAGGGGCAAAATGCAAAAACAACCGCAGAAAACAAAAACTGGAAAAAAAAACTCAAAAAAAAAAACTCAAGCAACAACTCAAGCAAGGGTCTGGGGAGGGTTCTGGGGGTGGGGGAGAGGCAAAATGCAAAACAACCGCAGAAAACAAAAAAAAAACTCAAAAACAAAACTCAAAAACAACTCAAAAGAAACTCAAAAAAAAAAGCTCAAGCAACAACGGTCTGGGGAGGGTTCTGGGGGTGGGGGAGGGGCAAAATGCAAAAACAACCGCAGAAAACACAAAAACAACTCAAAAAAAAACTCAAAAAAAAAAACTGAAAAACAACTCAAGCAAGGGTCTGGGGAGGGTTGTGGGGGTGGGGGAGGGGCAAAATGCAAAAACAACCGCAGAAAACTCAAAAAAAAACTCAAAAAAAAAAAACTAAAAAAAAACTCAAAACAGACTCAAAAAACACTCAAAAAGAACTCAAATATCCTGCTGTGTTTTTTGTTGTGTTTTGTTTGAGTCTCCTGCTGTGTTTTTCTTGTTTTTTTTTGAGTCTCCTGCTGTGTTTTTTTTTTTTGAGTCTGTGTTTTCAGTTGAGTTTTTTGGCTGAGTTTTTTCTGAGTTGTTTTTTGAGTTTTTTTTTGTTCCGCTAAAACCTCTCCTGTCTGAGCCCGTCTGGTTATAACGACAAGGGCACCCTGAAAAACCACACACATCAGCGTTGTTGCAGCCCAAGCTGCACCCCACTGCATCTCCAGCTCAATGAGGATCAGGAAGGCTCACTAAGGTTTCGTCACTAAGTTTTACTAACACATCTTCAATCCTTTGAGCCGGAACACAGCGCAGAAGCGGCAATCAGGCCGCCAAGCAACTGCCGGAGGCCCTCATGCTAAGTCTAATGATGTAAACCGCCTGATGAAGCAACAAAGGATGTCCCATGTTCGAGGGGATCCTTCACTTTGGGGCGAAACGGCAACCCTGCAAGGTGTCGGACGGCGACAAAACGGCATAGCATGCGTGCCGTGAGTGGCCGCGGGCCGCCCTTCTGCACGCCCTTGCCACCCTCAGTCGGGGTGCGGAGTGGCCAACGACCCATTGGTTTTGCCCGCTATGCTCTACCCACGGAAACTCAATCTTCACGGAACTTTGGTGGACCTGGTGCATATGGGTGTGTGCGTGTCCAAAGAAAGGACCCAAAAAATGGTTCTCCTTTGCGACTTCCCTTGAAACCGACCTGAAAAGGGTACCCTCAAACAGCATCAAAATCCTGGAGTGATAGGGAACCGCTGAGTTGTCCTTTGTTCATGCAGCATGTTTGGGGGCGCTCTGTATTTTTTGATGGTTAATTGTTTTCCATCTCTTCCCTGTCGGTGGGGTTGCACCATCCAGCAAGCTCTGAAACGCCCGCAGCCAAGACCGGTCCTTTTGATATATTTTGATATAGGTGTGCCTCCGGATCTCTCCCCTCCCGCTGTTTGGCCGCCGCTTTTTCTGGGCACCGTGCCCCGGCCCACGGCCGCTGCGGTGGCGGCTGCTGTGGCGGCGGCGGTGGCGGCTGCGCGTGGAGAAGGGCCGATTCCCCAGGGACGCAGCTTCCCTTGAAAACGGTGGTGAAATCCCCGTGCTTGAAGCCATATTTGCCGGCCACATGGGGCACCCCAGAACCTTAAAACCACAAATTTCGGGGTTCCCTATGTTCGCCCCGCGCATCACCCCTGCGCAAACTCACCTCGAATGGGCCAGACAGGTGATGTTTCGAAGAACCACCCTTCCAGGGAAAATATATGGGGACCGCTGGGTGAGAATTCAAGCTGCTTATGCAGAGGTGCTTCGCTTTTGCAAGCATCGGGCAAGACTAGTGTATGGAAACAAACTGTTTGTTAAAAATCGAAACAAGGACGCCTAAAAGAACGAACATGATGCGTCGGCATCGAACATGGAAAAGTGGAACCCTGCGGGAGCAGCAATGGCTGCCTGGAGACGTAGCAAAGGTCCGGTTTGCTCTTTTTAAGGTGATCGGTTGGTGTTTTGCTGGGCTGCTGCTGCACAAATGCAGGTTGTCGTCCGAGGTGCGTCTGGTGGTTGCCCGTCTAAAACTAACAAGGAGGCTTTCACATGTAGAGAGAAGGGCTGTGAGCCCTGAAACGCCATCCAACATGACTACACGGTGCGAGGGCCAACCAACTGGGAGCCCCACCATGTAGGCGCGCATCTGCGCCTGCGCCTGCAGGCGAGTACTCTTCTCTCTTTCTCTCTCTCTCTCTCTCTCCGTCTCTCTCTCTGTCTCTCTCTCTCTCTCTCTCTCTCTCTCTCTCTCTCTCTCTCTCTCTCTTAGGTAACAACATATGTTATGTTCATTTATGTTCTATATCTTGTACATCTTATACTAATTCTAGATTTTAATGCCAGGAATTCTTTACTTTCGCATCCTATCTTCTAATAACTCGTGACAAAGATAATGGATTCATGAGTTGCTCTCTGTCTGTCTGTCTGTCTATCCCTCTCGCTGTCTGGCTGTCTGGCTGTCTGGCTGTCTGGCTGTCTGTCTGTCTGTCTGTCTGGCTTTCTCTCTTTCTTTCCCTCTTCCATTCTTCCTTTCTTCCTTCCTTCCTTGCTTCCTTGCTTCCTTCCTTCCTTCCTTCAGTCCTTTCTTCCTTCCCCTCCTCCTTCCTTCCTTCCTTCCTTCCTTCCTTCCTTCCTTCCTTCCTTCCTTCCTTCCTTCCCTTGCTTGCTTTCTGTCTTGCTTGATTTATTTATTTACTTATTTCTTTCTCTTTCTTTCTTTCTTTATTTCTGTTCTTTCTTTCTTTCTTTCTTTCTTTCTTTCTTTCTGTCTTTCTTTCTTTTCTTTCTTTCTTTCTTTCTTGTCTTGTCTTGTCTTGTCTTGTCTTTTTTTCTTTCTTTTCTTTTATTGTCTTTCTTTCTTTCTTTCTTTCTTTTCTTTCTTTCTTTCGTTCTTTCTTTTTCTTGTTTTCTTTCTTTCTTCATTTCTTTCTTTCTTTATTTCTTTCGTTGTTTCGTTCTTTCGTTGTTTCGTTCTTTCGTTCTTTTGTTCTTTCGATCTTTCGATCTTTCGCTATTTTAATATTTCGTTCTTTCTTTCTTGCTTTCTTTCGTCTTCCTGTCTGTCTTGTGTTATGCATTATTTCTTCCTTCCTGACTTCCTTCCTTCCTTGCTTGCTTGCTTGATTTCTTTCTTTCCTTATTTCTTTCTTCTTTCTTGCTTTCTTTCTTCTTCCTTTCTTGTGCTATATATTTATTGATTTCTTCCTTCCTTACTTCCTTCCTTCCTTGCTTGCTTTCTTTCTTTCCTTCCTTCCTACCTTCCTTCTTTCTTTTATGTCTCTGTCTCTCTCTCTCTCTCTCACTCTCTCTCTCTCTCTCTCTCACTCTGCGACTTGCCTCGGGGGTTCGTGCAATCGGGCCCAAAGCCCTAGCCAGAAAGGTGTTGGATAATGGTACGGTATGGATGAGGAAGCGTGGCCATTGTGGCAATGAAAAGTTGAAAAGCTGAATCATTGAGGGTTGCCCACCCCGTACTGTGCGCAGGGACTTCAAAGGCACACATCCCGCCTCCCCCTCGGGCCGCACGTACTGCACCGAGGGGCTGTGGGGGTTTGAAGGTGGCATTGCGCCACTGAAAGGTTGATATTGGCAATGACGCCAATGACTTCAGAAAGCTGCAAGAAAGGCAGCAAAAGCTGCAAGAAAACGGGTGGAGCACCAGGCCAGCAAAAGGGCGGGGGGAAAAAGCAAGGGCAACCCAAAAACCAGGCAGCAGGCAAGCGCCTCTTTGAAGCCGTGTCAGGGCACTGTCACGCGTCAACACCAGCCACCCAAGTTCTCTGATAACAAATTGGTCGAAGCCACTCGTGGAGAAGATGTCTCGGGAAGAACTGGCCCTCCAGGATACGCAGGAAGTGCGCCAGAACATTGGCACGCTCAACCTCCGGGACGGTGAACTGTTCGACCCGTTCGACGATAGAGCAAGGACCTCTTTACTGATGCGGGCACCCAACTGTCGAGGGCGTGAGAGCTGAGCGGGCCAGTGCACGATCGTAAGGTTGCCCTGTGGAGCTCAAGGTGGGAGAGAGATGGACCTCGCCGAACTGGGTGAGGAAGATGTTGAGGCCAACAGAGGTGTCGCCATCATCCATTTCCAGCAACAAGGATGTGCCGGGTCTTCTTGAACTAAGCCCCGCAAAGGTGTGAACAGCACATGGGTGTAGAGGAAGGAGCCCCTGGGCAAGATTGGCTGCAAGCTCATCTATGGGAGGTGCTGGTGAGCGTGATGCCCAATCGGGGCAGCAGTTGGAGGAGTGGTTTGGGCGGATGGTCGAAGGGCCGTGTGTGAGGGGGCCAGCCTGTAATGCTCCATGTGAGGTGGCCAATCTCAAGAGTCCTGAGGGGCAAAAACATGGGAGAGGCCATCGAGAGATGGGTAGCGAGGCAGCAGGGGGAAGTGCTCGCACTTGCGGGGCCAGGCATCATCAGCGCCGAGCTTTTTGTAGAAGGCAGGGGCTGTGCGGAGGCAGCTGCGGAGAGTTGCCGCGGGCTTGGTGTTGGCCAGGATGCCAGCCTCTCTCAGGAATTGTGAAATGTCTTTGTGCTCAGTGCACTGGATCTTGGACAGGAGCTCGCGGAGCACTCGGCGCAAGACATGGGTGACGCTTCACCTACCCAAGGCAGAGTAGCTTGGGTGATGAAGGGTTGGGGCCATTTGCGGAACAGGCGGACCTTGTGGAGGAAGGCCTGTACTGCGAGCGTGGCCCTTGCATTTCCGGCACACATGGCGAAAGAGAGCAAACCACTCCCTGACGGTGATGCAGAAGAGCTGGGATCGACAGCGGCGAAGCTCACCATGGGGCAAGTGACCACAGGCACCTGCAATCCACCACGCTTTCGAAGGGGACAGGCAAGGCGTCAAGGGCTTCAGCTGCTGGTCCGGCTCTTGAAGGAGTGGCCTGCGGGTGCTGAGCATGCTGAGTAAGGCGGGCAGGAGGTGTGGGGCAGAGCAGGCTCACTCGGGCCAGACGTTGGCGTAAGGCCCGGCCAACGAGAGGAGGTGGGCAGTGCTCCAGCGGGATCTTTCTGAGAACGCGGGGTTCATTCAAGGGGGGCTGCTCTCTGGAAATGACATGGGCCTCCAAGGACAAGCATTGCGCAGGGGAGCTGCAACACGCGATGGGGAGGAAGAACAACTCCGCAGCAGCGTGGAGATTGTTGCCGTGGTGCAAGTTGCAAAGGACTCGCATGTAAGGCTGTTGCTGCGAAGTAGGCCCATGAGGTGGAGACGCAATCTGTCCTGGAAGTGCGTGGCCTTGCCGATGTAGAAGAGCGATCGGTGGGGAGACCAAATCATGTAGACAACGTGGGATGCTACCAAAAGATGGGCCTGAGGCGGCCAAGCGCTGCCAGGCAGAGTGGTTGCCAGAGCACGGAGCTTCGCGTGACAACGCCGTGAAGACGACATAGGAAAATGGCCGGACAGCATCATTGACATGCTGTGAATCTGGAAAACCGCACGCCAGGGTAACGGATCCCCGGAGTTATACAGGGAGGACTTCAAATCACGGAGAAAGGCAAGCATTGCTTCAAGGTCAGCTCTCTTGGCCGGGGGTCTTGGGAGGCACGGCATGCTGTCACTGCGCACATCCCAAAAGCCACCAGCTGACCGTGCGTTGGGCCGTAGTCAAGACTCATGATGGTCGCAGCGAGCTTTCACTGCGGCCACGATGGTGCTGATCTGTGAAGCTTTGGATTCATCAAACTTTACCCCGAGCTTGGCAGAGATGCGCTTGAATTTGGCGAGGGCGGACTGGTCCTGCAACT